TGCTGTGGTGCACACGGTGGACCTCGTCGAAATCAACGGTCGAACTGCCCCTTTGCAAACCACGCATTTCAACTCGGATATTTCAAGCAAATGGAGTAAGCCTTGCCCTTCGGGTAATCTTTTTTTGGTAGTATGCAAATGTAGTGAGCACGCTGGCCTGATGAATAAATTATTTTTGCGTTCTAAAAGTACTTTTACATTAAACGGGAAAGTGTTCGGGTTGTTTGTCTTATGTCAAATTAAGTTCTAATGCTCCAATGCATTATCTTCCAGAAGCGTAAGTCTAAGGTAATTGTATCTGGACTTTGCGTGACGTAAAAACTACCGATTAGAAAACGGATGGATGGCGCAACACCGTGTAAACATCTATATCCGAAACTTAGTACGATAAGCTAAACAAGCATATAAGAAGTCGGAGTCAGTGGCATTTCTCATTTTCGAAAGCCAGATAACTGATTTCCACAGTATTTGTGTTCCCCAGAGGTGCTCATTTTGGAAAAACTGAACTTACTGTGTCAGACAATTGGCAAGTATCGAAAGACCCCGACCCAATTTAATAAAGGCTGGAAAAAGCAGGTGTCAGTCCGAGCAACCACGTGTAAGAATGTTCAGAAAACAAACACCACTACTGTCACGAGAATAACAGTTTACCTGGGGCGTGGCCCAAATACAACTATAAGTTATAAGAAAAATGTGTCAGTTAAAAAAACATAGTCGAAGCTCGTGACTTTTAAGTCGGCCGCACGAGGCAGTTTACAATATGTCCGACTCGGAAAGTTTTATATCGTAAGCCGAAGCCAATAAAGATCTGTGTTGAGAGACTCGATCAAGCACAAGACGAAGGCGGTGAAATGATCTCATATTTTAGTGCACAAGTATTACATTTTAGATGAAAAAGTCGAATGTACTCTATGAATGGATCGCATTCTCTTCCATCTACTAGCTTTAAACATACTAACGCAAAGTGGGTTGCGATGAATGTGCGGGACATTACTTGTAATAAGTATGCAACTGGCCTAGCAATTGCATCTTATAAATATTCCAAGCGCTAGCCCTATCTGATACAGTCCCTGAAAATGGACTAGACTGAGCCCGAACAGGCAGACGATCAAAACTCTTGTTTTAACGATAAGCAGTTAGGATTTGCTTGCGCTTCTTTTAGTGAGATTTCAAGCAGAATGAGGTAGTCATTTTAATGTAAATCCTACAAGGGATGTCATTCTTCTTGAAAACCATCGCATAATGCAAGAAGACGGGTGAAAGGATACAACTTCATTGAATAGCGATACTCTCTTCATACTAAACTAGACATTTGTTTGCGTGAGTTAATTGCGCGCCTTAGTCAAGGTCCAGAACTTTCAGGGCATAGTATTAGTTGTCATGGCCTTTCAGAAATTAATTTAACGGCCCAATTACGGTGACAGAGGATGGTAGACATTATGACTACAGGTAGTTGTGGTAGAAGCCAGGTCGAATACGCTCAAGACAATAGGCCGATAAACACGAAAAAGCGGTTACTTCGCCAATTAATTAGGAGATTTGTTTTTATTTTGATTGGGTTCACTGCTCACCAAATTACACCTCAACTAGTGTTGAGGGGGATGGTAGGCTTTTCTTGAATCACCAATGCTGAGGCCCGTTCCAATTCCGATGACATGTTCTGCGGACGAACATTTCGGTGAACTCTAATCGCATCCCTAGGTGACGCAACGACGTGAGTCTACGGTGATTTCAGCACGCAGCACTTCATCATCACCATCTAACGATCAAATGGCTGGTCGATACCCTGTCTTGCAGTTTGTGTTTGAAGTTAATTAGGTGTGAAGACGAGGTCTCAAAAATGAAGCTGCTGAATACGATTAATTTTTTTTTATTCGGTAAGGAAACCAGGCACCATAATTTATCAGCACAGCAATTTGTTTATTAACGTACAGTCGAAAACAAATATACGACCTGAACTGAGCAACGCTCGCTGTCCGCCTTGGCTCTATACATTAGTTTGTTACCCTTCCCTACGGGCGGCAACGTTCAGACGTGACACCAAGTTACCTGCTCTCCAAGTATGGACTACAAGCCCCTGTAACCGGTCAGCCAATGCTGTTGGGCAGTACTTATACATTTATTTGGAAGGTAGGCCTTGACAAATGCTTTGACATTTAGCAGTTCTGCTACTGTCTTAAGGACCTCTTTGGTGCATGGTGCGCTGCAAATTCAGTAATATACAGATATCAGGGGGGCTTAAAACTGGGATAGCAACACAAATGGCCGGATCTAGCGAGTTCGGAAATTGGGCAAAAAGCTTCGGCTCTCAGAGTTGAGTGTCCTACAAAGGCGCTATCACCGTACCTTGGCTATCTCGGTGGTGCATGCTTAAAAGCTGATAAGGTACCGAAGCTCTACAACCTGAAGAGCGTTTAATATCTCGTGAAATTTTACTCCAGGATTTAGTATGATCACACAAGCTAGTGCACATGGTCTCACCACGCTGGACTCCACAACTGGGATCGTCAGAGGGGACTACCGATTCCTAAACCGTATTTTAGTCGTATCATTTCAACAGAGTTTTAATCCTTGCGTCAAGGCCTGGTGTGATCTAGGAACTCCTAGGAGTTACTTGGGAGAATATACTTCGGCTAGGACCCATTTCCCTCGACTCAAGGCGTATTAGAGGCGTCTCGCATCTACAGTAAAGAGGCCAGTAATAAAACGGAAGCCTGTAAAAATGACAGAAACCTTAAAAATGGCAAATGCATTTTCCCGTAGGCATTATCCTTGCGTTAATACTTGATAGGAGCCATTGCCTAATTCGAATAGGAGCATGATCAGAAATATAGTCGCCGCCGATAGCATCATGCACTTCGCCAGTTTGGACAGTCGGGTAAATATGAAATGGATATATTGGAGTGTGACCAGCATCTAAGAGCCCCATGACCAAATGTCACGTAGACTGTCGAAAGTAATTCTGCTTAACCACAATGTTAATGGATAGTTAGCCGTTCACGCAGTGACATTTTTATAATGGCAAACGATGAGCTTCGCGTGTCCTCCAGGACTTTCTTCCGGCCATGAAGAC